GTGTGAGAGTGATGAATTATTTCATGCATTCGAGAGAATGAGAATAAGTTCGACGGGTATAAATCATCATAGGGTCCGATAGGAGATAGATATATACCACTATGCCTTGCGTGAATCTCTAAGTACTCATAAAATCACATGCATCCTTGTATATTTGCATCCGTCATAAAGATATAGGCTGGTAGTATATGAGAATATGTTCAACTTTACTCGAAAAAGACTATTGGATAGATTTAAGAGCATTGATTCTTCAAAAAAAATGAAAAAAAATAAAAATAAAAATTCAATGTGTTGTCAAATTGTGGAACTAAGGTTAAAAGTGAGCATTGCTTGAGGATTCATGATCCTAGTGCATCTTTCATTCATTAATTTCATCAAACGTGCATTCAAATATCATTTTGCATTTAATTTTATTTAATTCATTCATAATTGCATACATAGTTTATTTTCGTTATAATTTCATCACAACAAACATTCTTATCATTCTTGTTTTGGTTAATCAATCTCTGTGAGACAATATTTGGAACTCTAAATTCCATTTTTTTGTTGCGAACTGTACACTTGCGGTGTTTTAAATCGAAATAATATTTTCGTGAATAGTTAGTAAAAAGATTCAACCTTAAATCATATATTGAGAAAAGAATAAAAAACGATTAGGTTTGCCGTGTGTGAATTTCATGAGTGACGAAAGTGAAAAGTTTGACTATCGAGGGGTCGGGAATTGAAATAACTCGTGAATATAGTGTTTTACTTGATTCTTCATACACTCATACATCGGTTTTGCATTGAAAAAATAGATATTGATTTTGGTACTGTGACCTTGAAACTGTTTATAGATTTAATACAATGATTTCGATCCTGCAACAAAACTGCAGTTCATCTAACCAAAATCTTTTCCATGTTTATGTGTTTGTCAAGCTAAATTATGGTTTTTTAGGACAAGCAAACATTTAAGTTTGGGGTTGTTTGATAAGTATATTTTATACACTTATTTGGATATAAAAATATAAACATTTAATAGTTCTTTTGAATAATTATAGCCTAATTTATTGTATATTTCAGTTATAAGGTGAAACTTGACGAATGGAAGTGAAATTGAAAAAAAGAATTGCAAACTGGTGAAAAATATCAAGATCCAAAGTCGAATACTAAAGTGTAAATATTCAAAAGTTGTGTAGGACCTCACAATAAAGATTTGAGAATACTAAGGATCAATTGGATGCAATTAGAAAATAAAATGAGTGAAATATGACCAAAATATTTTCACAAGTTAATTTTTAATCATACAAGAATGTTCTAGATGTTTGTCCAGAGATCGAGACTCATTTTTTGCCCAATAAATGTTTAAAGTGGAAAGAGCTTCTGCTATTAAAATTTTAGCCCTTTGAGTTATCTTTATAACCCATTTGAATCGTCTCAATCGATATCTAGAGAGAAAGTTATGATAAAAATATTAACGGAGGGATAGTACTGAATTTTTCCTAAGAGGAGATGTAGCACAGCTTAATAAATCTAGGGCAAGAATATTTTGCTCGTTTAAATTCCATATCATCTTCAAATTTGGGAAAACGTTAAGGGAAGTATAACAAGAATAGAGGAACTTTTGAAGGGTTCCACACATTGAGAGACAAAAATCACAACTTTGAGAATAGGAGAGCAAAATTAAAGGAGAAAAACAAGAAATCAAGGATTTGAAATCAATATTTGAAATAAAAAAGGAACTTGGTGTAAGATTCATCCACTTTTTTTACATCTCAATTCAAAACCCGGTAACGTACTCATACCACTTTTTTCCTTCTATTATTACGAACATTGAAACTCTTTATTAGGGCTAATGATATAATCTATTCAAGATCCTTTAGTTCATTTATTCAAGATTCTAGTTCTTTGAAATTTATCTGTTGATTTTATTCATGTGTTTAATGTTTTGAGTTACTTGATCAACAATTCAATGATTTTGTGAATCTTTTACGAATCAAGATGTGAGTTTTAGATTTAGGTCACATAATAAAATTTGATAATTTAGTATAATATGTAGAGACACATTTGCTAATTATTGCAGCCGTTATTTGAATTCTTAGAACAAATAGTGTATTTAACTAAGATTAATTCACATATTTCGTTCCACTTTTATTTATTTAATTCTTAGCATTTTTTTTTTAATATGAGTGCTAGGATTACAATAAAATTTGTATAATGAACTTTTAACTTGTTATTTTATTTCTTTCTGACATTGAAAGCATTTTTTTTAATTATTGAATGATTGAAATGGTTTTATTTTTCTCTACAATTATATACGCAATAGTTATATGAGTATTGTTGCTTGTTTTACTTTCGAACGGATCATATGCAATGATAGATTTAATTCTACTCGAGAGAGATTGTTAAAAAATTTAGAAATATTGATCTTCGTAATTGAATCGTGTTATCAAATTATAAGATTTAGGATTAAAAAGGATTGATATAAGGGAATTCGGGATCTTAGTACATTTTTTATCATTAAATTTTCATCAAACTTGCATTCATTATAATTTTGCGTTGATTTTAGTTAATTTAGGTATTTTATTCACCAGCAGATTATTTGATTATAATTTAGTTTTAGAAAAATTACAAATTTTCATAGGTTCTGTTAAGGTCAAGTTAATTTAAATTTGAACTATTACAATTTATGTGAATATAATACTTGGACTCAAAATTCATTTCATTACTTGTAAACGAATCGTGCATTTGTAGTAATTTTAATCGAACAAATATTTTCGTGAGATCAGCAACTAATTAGCATGTAAAAGCAACATTCCAAACCTAATTGGAATGGGATAAGTATTCTATAACTAATGTCTTATTAATACTTTTAGACAATAATATGAGATGTCAACACTGAGATCGAGCAACCAATTAGCAATATTGCAAGCTTAATTGGAATAAGATAAGTATTATATAAATAATAATGTCTAATTAAAATACTTCCAGAATCCTTACCACTCTATTTTCTATCGAGAGCAATTTTAATTGGCTAATAGCTAAAATTGCACACTTTTCCAGTCACACCGGCCTACCAATACTTTATTATTTTGTTGACTATACATAGATAGCTATAAGCTAGTGCTGAAATTAAATCTGAACTGGATGTAAATAAAATAAAAAATAAAAGTTTAAAATTGGCACTTAACAAATCAGGAATAAAATTTAAACACGAAATTTGGAATTAAACATGTTTCGTCAATTTATATGTGATGTCATTCCTCTCTTATTTGTTTAATTCTTAGTACGTTAGGCTAAGGGTCTGTTTGATTGACCATGAATTCTAGATCTGGGCATTTTATTCGGAACCAAACCTCCTGAACCGAAATCGAACCAGAATCGAAGCTTTCGATCCAATTTCTTGAAAAATAAATTAGTAACCGAAACCGAGAACTAATAATCAACTGGGTTCAATTCGGTTCTTGTTTCTTGAACCAGAACCATGGGTATTCGAGAGAAACCGATTTTTATAAAAAATAATTTATTTACAATTTATAGGCTGAAAAATCATATAAAACCTAAAAATCCTAATTTTGATAATAATTAGTCTAAAACTTTAAACTCTAACCCTAAAAATAAGATTGGCTCCTACTTTTTTACATCTCACCTTATATTAGATTGTTGTATTTCAGAGGTTATTATGTGTTAATGTTTACAATTTGAACTTTTTACAAATCAAAAATTTTAAACAGGTTGTGGTATAAGTTGATGAATCAAAGCGTTTTTTCTTTATAATTCAAGTTTTTTTACTTTTTTATATTGTTAATAAACTTAAGTGATTTCTTTAATTTTTTTATTACGTGTTGCAATTGATTTTGATATATTCATTGCTTGCATTGTGTTGTACATTTTTGTTATCTTGAATTTGTGATTTTCTTTTTCAATATATACATATATTTTTATTTTTTATTCAAACAGAGTGAGTTCAATATGTGGACCATAATTTTTTAATACTATATTAGTTATGTATTTAATTAATATTTTTGTATCAGTTTGTTTTAAAAGTAGAAGAATTTAAGTACTGTTCATAATTAAATTATATGCCTAGTATGCTTCTCTTATAGATCGAATAAGATTTATTAAGAAATATTATTTTTTTTTTCAATTTATAATTTCATTTTTTATCTTTATTTTATTTTCTCCCATTTTTCGTGGATTTTAGTATCCAATATTTTGCTCCTTGAAATTTTTTTAATTGAATTTTCTTCATTGCACAAATATTTTCGAGCAGCGGCGTATTAGGTATATGTACCAAAAAGGTTTGTATAACATATTTATTAAATAAATGTATATAAAATGCTATGGGTAGATTCGAAACCGAACCAGAACCGATGCTTCGGGTTTGGATTTGGTTCTAATATTTACGAAGATCTGAATGATTCTATTTGCAAAATATTCGAAGTATAATAGATGGTTCGGAATATTAAAATACTAGAACCGATCCACTCGAAATATGACTATATTTGATGTTTGATAGAGCAATTATCTACTTTTCTCCCCTTCTTCATTCTTACCCGGCTGCGTGGCGAGGGGGGACCACTGCAGAAATGGAGTTATTTATTCACCAAACCTTATATATTTTATGTAATACACAAATCTGAACTTAATGGAGATGTCATTTTATTTTATTTTTTTCTTTTACCTTCTTCACGGGGCGGGTCAGGCCGGGGACGCGGGGAACAATGCAGAAATAGTGTGATTTATTCACTAAAGCCATCTCTAAAAAATACTTAAAAAGAATAACCCTAAAATTGACTTTAAAATTAAATTATATAGCACACAATTCTATCTTTCCTAACCCGATGAGGATATGCACTTTGAAAAGAGCCCGAAAAATTATTGCTTTCTACACATAATCTATATAATGCAGCTCGGGTTCAACTGATTTTTCAAAGCCACAACTGTCTGAAAAACAAGTTTTTCTTCTTTCTACACTTTGCGAATTTCAAATTTGCTCGACTCTTTTTGAAAGCTCGGGTATGGCATTATCAATTCCAGAAGGTTTCGTTTTCAAGCCCACTGATCAAAAACTTATCACACTTTACTTAAAACCCAAAGCAATGGGATCTCCATTGCCATGCGATAGAATTCTTGATCGAAATCTATACGGGGAGAATGGTACACCATGGATTATTTTTTCAAACAATGATCCGTGGGAAATTGTTGGGGAGTCTGAAATTGGTATTGTGAAGAAGGAAATATATGTGTTTACTAAGGTGAAAAGGATAGATAGAAGGCATGTTAGGGTGGCCGGTTGTGGAACATGGGCAGGAAAATCTAAGCCGAAGGTTATCCAGAATTGCAAGGGCGAAGTCATTGGTGTGAAGAAATCATTTACATTCAAAGTGAGTGGCAATTTGAAGCAAGACGAGCTAATTAAGAAGAATGGTCGTTATATAATGCACGAATACACCTTGGAAGGAAGTTCTTTGGAGGGAGTGGATAACACGGATTATGCGGTTTGTCGAATTTCATGGGATCTGCCAAAATGCGGCGTCGAAGAAGAGAGTTGGCCGACTGAAATGTCAGATATAGATTTTTCAATTTTAATTGGAGAAATGACTTGGAACCAAGCATTGCACAATCAGGAGCTGAACCCTGAAGCTGATTCGAGTGGGCCGACGAAGATTTCTGGTAAAGAATCGAAAATGTCTGATAAAGAATCTTCAAGTTTAATAGAAGAAATGAATTGGAACCAACCATTGCACAATCAGGAGCTGAACTCTGAAGCTGATTCGAGTTGGCCGCCTAAAATGTTTGATAACGAATTTTCAAGTTTAATTGAAGAAATGAATTCGAACCAAGAATTTTACAATCAGGGGCTGATCTCAGAAGCTGATTTGATTTGGCAGACTGAAATGTCTGATATGCCAATTATTGAAGGTCCATTTTTTGGATAATGGACCGAAATTTCTGATTTGATTTGAGTTGCACAATCCAATTTTTATTTTCTTTTTCTGAGTTTAAAATTTGCGTGATGAAAAGATTTGGGGATGTTGAGTTAGGGATTTTTTATTATTATTATTTTTTACCTGAAAAGGGAAAAGTAATTCAATGACAAAACATGAGCTTGAGTTGAGTTGAATATATTTATGGCTGAACCATTAAAAGTTTTACCTTTGGAAGTAATAATAAAAGAAATCAGCAGAACGAGCCCAGAAACCCAAGCTGCAGTGGCAGAATCAGTATACTGAAATTTGTTAAAGAAGATGAACATCTGCTATTTATACACGGAGGCCTGCAGCAATAAGAAAAAGAGTCAAGAGGCATACTTATCCAGTGGACAGTGTGGCTGACTGAAATAACGATAAATCCAGTTTAAATGTAAAGTGCCCGGACATAGTGTGGCTGGCTGAAATAACGATAAATCCAGTTTAAATGTAAAGTGCCCGGTAAGTTCTGCAATAAAGAAGACGAGAGATAAGAGTTAGAGAGATGATACACGTACACGGGTCCACCTCATGTGTCTGATCTGGAGGGATTCTATGAACCCCTCTTCTATACATATAGTATAAATCTAAGAGTCATCACAAAATGTTGTATATTATACTGCTCAAGTTTATTTAATAAACCCCTGTTTGGCCCCCATTATTTGCTCATTTTCCATTCCCATTACCATAATATGTGGTCCCCACTTCTGAAAACGTTTGGTGATTTTGATCGAGGCAGCTACATTTTTTTGACTTTTCTATGGAGCACTCCATATCGTTTTACAAAATTGACGTTGACATATTATAGGTAATGGCGTCAATAGGTGAGGGTAAATGCGTCCTACCAACTTTCAACTGTCCAATAGAGGCAAGAAAAATACCATTTGTACAGAAAAATGGTTTATCACCTTGTTGACAGATTCTCACATTAATGTGGGACCCGCGTGGGACTTAAGTGAAAAAAATGATAAAAAATTGCTCCCCTCCCCCCCTATAAGTCTGTTCTGTCAGGGAGGGTGTCAAACCCTCCCTGTACGAACAGCAAGGTTCTATAGGCAAAAAAGAGTCTGACAAAGCAGGTCTAACTTTTGCATTGTTTATTAGTTATTTACTGTAGATTAATGAAATTTCGTACAAAAAACTTATTAAGGGCTCGTTTGGCACGATTTTTACTTTGGCTTTTGCTTCTTGTAGAAGAGCTTTTGGAGAAAGCTATTTTAATTTTTGTTTGAAAATTAATATTTAAAATCACTTCCCATTCCGAAAGTGCTTTTGGAGGAAGTCAAAAAAACCAGCTTCCTCTAAAAGTTCTTCTAACCTCCAAAAGCACTTTAAACAAAAATAGTCAAACGGTCCAAAAGCGGCTTTTGGCTCTCAAAAGCTCCTTTTGGCTTTTCAAAAGCCATCCCAAACTGGCCCTAAGCCCTGTTTGTGGTCCTTTAATTTCAAAAATTGGAGTATGGAATAGTGATTGATGTTGAAATGTATGGTTAAAAAAAGAATTTTTTTTTGATATATGTGTAATATTACTTTAATGAAGAATGTGTGATTGAAAATAAGTACTGTAAAAAAAAAATATGAGAGAATGATTGACAAATAATGGCTAAAATGAGGGCCAAACGGGGCTTAAAATGTAAAACCGTGCAGCGATGTCTATACTCCATGTTGGGACAGCTCAAATCATTTTAGTATCAAAAGTAGAGATTTATAGACAAAACGAAGTCGTAAATGATGCTCATAACCATTGTCTATTGTTACAATTCATCCTAATTAGTCAAAAATAAAAAGTTGACTTGTCAAAGTCAAAGTCAAATATGGGCTAAAATTGAAGTAAATTAATTTATTGGGGTTATTTTATGATAAAAAAAATATTTGAAGGTTTTAGATGGATAAAAATTAAATTTTGAGACCTACTTATATATTTTTGGAAGTTTAGGATTTAATTTTATAAAGATGAGAGTCTTCCTTTGCAATTTAGAGTTAGTGGCCACATATTATATTACAATTAAACCTTTTTTCAATTGTAATTTCACACACACACAGTAGAAAATGGGACAGTTTGGGAAACGAGAAAGAAAGGAAAAAAAGGAGAATTTGGTGAGATAGTCGGTTTATCAATGTTTTTGGACAAATAGTCTTTGACCAATACAAAAGGAGAAAAAAATTTAGAATAATTTAATTGATAAAATGACCAAACTATCCTTCACATTTTAACACAAAAATCCTTCCAAATTCCTACATTCACCCGTTTCTTCCTCAGGTAAAACCCTATTCCCCCAAATTCAAAAATTAACGTCTCTCTTCTTCTTCCCCTTTGTGGAAACCTCACAAAATCGACTACAAATCTCACGAAATCTTCTACAAATTTGTGGAAATTCTTCCCCTTCTACTTGACTGTGAAGGTGAACACAAATTTAAGGTACGGCTTCTTCATCTGATCGATTCTCCACCACCGACTCCATGTTCCTATATGTTCATCGAATTCTATAATTGGAGATATAACTTCAGGTATTGATGCAGAAGAGGAAGAATCAACAAATGTATGGTTAAACATAATACTTTTTTTTTTCTTTTAGAGACATCCCTTTATTTGAAATGGTATAAGAATTAATGGGTCAATCTTAATTTTTCATTGTTTTCAAGAACTAGTTGACTTTCAAATTGGGTCTGGTTTTAACGTCATGAATATGTAATTGCACATAATTTTGCAACTAGTGTAGTTCATGATGTTGGGGACAGAAGCAATAAAAACAATAAAATAAACATGATATTGAAGTTCCATGAATTTCAAATGAATATCGCAATGTGATTACCTAGTTTTTGTTGATTTATAAGAATACAAGAAATCTATGTATCAAAAACTTTATGATTCGCGTACAAATACATAAAATTTGGACTCATTGATTTTAAATATCAAATAACAAGAATTTAAGAAAGTGGAAAACTTTTTAACAATTTATATTTTATTTCAATTCAAGAACGACCTACTGGCTATAACCCTTATTTCTCTTGAGAAATAAGATTTCTTACTCAATTTTTGTTTTGCATTTTACAATAGGAAAAATGGATGTTGAAGACATAGTGAACATGAAGATAAGTAATATGTGTAGAATGAAATTAATCGATGAAATTTTCTACAGCTTAGATGAAAAGCATCATAACATATTTACCAATTCCTGCTTTGGACATTTGTTAAGCTTGAGAAATATAAATCTTGCATCCCAATTAGTCCACCAACTGATTCTGAGGCTGATAAGTACCTTAAAAGAAAATGAAGTATGGATTAAGGTTGGAGACAAGCTTACAAGATTTGGATTGCAAAAATTCACACTGATTACTGGGCTTAAAGCTGGGGATTTGGGTAACGAGGACCCGACGCTAGGGCAAAATTGTAGAATCGTGAAAGAGCGTTTTAAGCATAGCAACGGAAAAATAAAGAGAGATTTATTGTTAGATGTTTTCAAACGTTGCAAGCATAAGAATGATAAATATAAGTTGGGCCTCCTCGTCATATTGGTGTACGTGCTTTTGGCAGCAGAGGATAATACATTTGTTAACCCATGGTAGTTTTATTTGGTGAATGATCTCGATAGATTTAACAACTATTCGTGGGGGAAATAGTCATACGAATACACTATTAGGTTGTTTAAACGTAATTTGGGAGACATGTTGAAGAGTTATACATCTTCTCAACTATATCCGTATTCTCTACATGGATTTTCCCTTGCAGTCATGGTAATATGTTCTAAAATTATTTAGACATTACATTTCTTTTAATTATGTTACTGAAAATTAAATTTATACAGATTTGGGCGTTTGAAGCGGTTCCCAGTGTTGGAAAGAAATTCGATCGTGTAACAAATGATTCCAAAATTCATAGAATAATAGGCTAGGAAATGTGCAAGCAACTTGGGGGGATATACTTCACACATTTTTTGAATCGTCAAATGTGAGTTTAGTTTATCAAAATGTAAATGGCGTATCGATAACTATAACAAAACAATTTGTTGAATAATTATACATTCTTGTTTTTTCAGATAGAGGTACATTGTACGCTAAATCCTACAAACGATGAATTGCTGAAGCCATTCTGGAAGGAATTCAGACCTTTTGATGATGAAGCAGATCCAAAGATGTATAATGTCGCTTCTAAGGATGAAGGCGAAAAAAAATCTGAGAGTGATGATGCACTATCAAGTTTCGCTCGCCCTCAATGTCCTAAGACATCGGATCTACCATCTGTATCTAGCCATCTACATTCATCTAAAACGGCTGGATGACCTCCTCCTTCTTATGACTATATCGCTCATATAATAAAATAAGAAATAAGAGGAGTTGAAGAGAGGCTCCGAGCTGAGATCTCAGAGCGCTTTAATCGAGTAGAAAGGAAAATTGATTTATTTCTCCAATTGGCTTGATGAGGTCGAGTTCAGCCGGAAAGAAGCAAATTTGATGATCGTGCTTTTAGTACAGGCAATCAACAGAATAAAGAGGCCAGAGAGCAAGATGAGATGATTATTGAAGAATGCTCTCATGAAGAAGTCACATCGAATAAGCAACACAAAGCTTTTTCTACATATGATGATGGTATATTCTCTCTTGTACTTATTGCAATAAGCTATAAATAATTTTTATGTTGGGTCCCACTTGTAGGATTTGTGCCAGATCTTTCATATGCTATAGTTGTGTACCAACAACGGCCTTTAGTCTGGACCGAATAGACCTTTCGAATCTAGGAAGCTCGACAAGATGAGGTAACAGAGAAGGCGGATGGGACGAAAGAGGATTCAAACATATCTAACGAAGGTAAAAATAATTTATATTTCAATATTGTGTGTTAATTGGATTGAACTGTGTTCCATCAACTTTTGTAGACGATTCTGGGAAGCCTTCGACATCTTCACATGTTTGCCAACCTAATAATGAAATCATTGTGATTGAGGAACCGAATTCTGAAATGGCTGTAAGAA